TCCCTGTAGCCCCAGCTGTCCTGGAACTTACTATGTAGACCAGGCTGGCCTTGAACTCACAGAGATCCGCCTACCTCTGCCTCCCGAGTGCTGGGATTAAAGGCGTGTGCCACCACACCCAGCCAAAATAAATCTTTTAAAAATATTTTCTGGGGGACTGGAGAGATGGCTCAGAGGTTAAGAGCACTGACTGCTCTTGCAGAAGACTCAGGTTCAGTTCACAGCACCCACATGGTGGCTAACAATTGTCCTGTTTCAGAAGATTCGACACCCTCTTCTGACCTCCGTGGGCAACGCATGACACAGGAGCACTTACATACATGCAGGCAATATACTCACACACATAAAATAAAAAAAGAATAGATATGTTTTAAAATTTCTGAGGTGGGCTGGAGAGATGGTTCAGTGGATGAGGGCACTAGCTGCTCTTGCAGAGGACCCAGGTTTGGGTCCCAGCAACTATATGGAAGCTAAGAACTGTCCATGACATCAGTTCTGGGGGACCCAACACCCTCTTTTGGCCTCCATGGGCATTGCATGCACAGATGCACTTCCATGCATCAAAACACTCCTGCACATAAAATAAAAATAAATCAAAATTGTCCAGGCGTACCTTTAGTGAATGCCAGCACTCAGGAGGCCGAGGCAGACGCAGGCAGATCTCTGTGAGTTTAAGGCCAGCTGCTGCTCTACATAGTGAGTTCTAGGCCAGCTGGGGCAACAAGGAGACCCTGTCTCAAAAAGACCAAAACTAAATAAGTTAAAAAAAATATTTCCTATTTATGATGTTTGAAAAGACCAGAAAACAGGCAAAAAATGAGCAGCATCCATAGTGTTAGTAACAAGAGACATAAATAACCACTAGTAAGTTTGATAAATATTCTTCTAGAAAGTGCATCCATCATCTCTCTGCATATAATGTTATATACATTTGCATTCACATACAAACATGCATTCAAGGGGCTTTTACAAAAATTAAATGTTAATATGCATGCTGCTCAACAATTTGCTTCTTATTACACAAAATTATTTTCATATCAGCCGACACAAATCTATACTATATCTGGAGGAGTGAATAACATTCTACTATAAGAATAGTCTATAACCTACTGAACCATCTGTTG